TGATCAGTGTGTTTCACACAACCAATGACACCAGCCATAGGTCAATATTTACCTGCTGCATGATGCATTCAATGTGTGTGTATGCTGTTGGAATTGCTAAGACTGCGGCCTGTGTCAACAGACTGTGACAAACATTCATTGTAGTTTGCTCTGGCACAAAAATGGAGCAACTATGGGATGATCTGTTTGTTGTGAAGTTAGAACTTTGATCACCTGACAACATCTGTACATTTAATAAAAGTACTTACCACACCCAGTCTTTGGTTCTACTAACATTTTTAATCTTCATCTATGGTTGTGATCACCATCCCTTGAATGTGTCCCTCCCTGCCTTAAAGCTGTAGAGAAGACTAGGTGTCCCAATGTCTACAAGAGCTAGGCTAACAGTACCATAGCTACATCATCACAGCAGGTCCTCGCTGGGTCTGTTGCTGCTGTCTGCCCCCCCCCCCCACCACCACGCCTCTTTCTCCTCTGTCAGTCCGGTGCAATGGACTTCATGTCTGCATGTTTCAGGCCTTCCAATCAACTAAACTCTGTACCCAGGTCTTTCTTCGTCTGCCCCTTGTGCCAATGCATTTTTTATATTCTCAGTGTTGCTAAAAGAGGTTCATAGCTGCCATCTGTGATGTGGTCTCTGTATGAAATATCTAGCTTCTTTTTTTATTTCCAATGCCTCTATAATTTTACAACAAGAAAAATATAATTTTCAATACGAACAAGTTAAGCGGGAGGAAATAAATCTCACAATGTTAGATAAGTGCGTATGAAATGTAATGGCAAATGTTTTCAAAAAATTTTTTAATTCATCAGCAATGCTGACTTACCCAACTTCATAGCTTTTTCATAACCTTGGTAGTAGGCCCAGTTTTCTGGATTTCTACAGATAAGATCTTTGTAAATTTCACCAGCTTTTTCAGGCTGACCCAACAAAATGTGCAAATTAGCTGTCAAGAGAAAAGACACAAACGTTTATTTACTTGACCAAGATGCAATAAACTTAAATGTGGATTTACATTTACCAAAGTCTAGACCCAGGGTCGTGGTTACTGAACTAAGACTTTCTGTCGCTCCCACTAAGGGATCCCTACAAACACATGTCTGTCCAACAATATACTATCAGGAACTAACATGATCTTCAGTGTGATGATGCCTGCCAAAATCTACAAGCTTTGCACACTATGAGACTATAGGAAAGTCACAGTAATTCTTTTATGATGCCAGGCAGCCTGCCAAAATCTACAAGCTTTGCACACTGTGAGACTGCAGGCTATGAGACTGCACACCTACACACTATGAGACTGCACGCTATGAGACTGCACACCTACACACTATGAGACTGCACGCTATGAGACTACACACCTAAACACTATGAGACTAAACACCTAAACACTATGAGACTGCACGCTATGAGACTGCACACCTACACACTATGAGACTGCACGCTATGAGACTGCACGCTATGAGACTGCACGCCATGAGACTGCACACCTGCACACTTTGAGACTGCATGCTATGAAACTGCACACTATGAGACTACAGGAAAGTCACAGAAATTCCCCCATACATACAGGGGCATCTCTATCCTGAGCCACACTGGAAAAATGACCAGTACTTGAGCCCCAGTTAAGCAAGAGACAGTTTGGTCTTAGGAAGGGAAAGAGCAGTAAAGATGCAATATTTTCTTTAAGGCAGATATACCAGCAGTCAATTGGATATGACAGAAGTCAACACCTTATATTTATAGATCAAGAGAAGGCATTTGATCAAGTCAACAGATGCAAACTAAGGAAAATTCTAGAAGAATATGGTATTCAACTGTTGGGTAACATCATGGCTTTTTACCAAGATAATCAATAGACAGTAAGAACAACAGAAGGAATGACAGACTGGGTTCCCATCTCATCAGGTGTCAGAAAGGGATGTGTTCTCTCACCATTGCAATTCATTACGTACATGGATAGAATTACAAAGGAGGCAAATACAGACACTGAAGAAATCAATTAACTTCTTTTTGCAGACGATTATTAATGTTTAATACACCACCAAAAACAGAATTTACAACACCATACTGTCTCCTTACATCAAGCCTGCACAAAGTATGACATGAGAATAAACAAACAGACCCAAAACTGAAGTAATCAGGATAGGTAGGAAACATAATATAATGAATGTTTACAATAAAGGTACTACAATTAAAGAAGTACGAGAATTCAAATATCTAGGAAGCATATTTACGGAGGATGGCAGACTCGATAAAGAGACAGAAGCCAGAGTACAGAAGGCAAATGCTGTTACCTACAAGTTTAAACTGTTTAAACACCCAAATGTCTCCCTTCCAGCAAAACAGCAAATAATTCATAGCATCTTTTTCCCTACTTTATGTTATCTGTACCAAACATGGACAATGAACAGGGCACTAGAACAGAAAAAAACTCATTTAAAAATAAATTTGTGGGCTTACTAGATCTTTTTTCTCTTCATGTTCACTGGCTGTAAGCTTTGGTGAAAGGTTATGGCTGTCTATTTCTAGACTTTTAAATTTTGTTCCAGAACTTCATGTTTATTCATCTGGCTTATTTGTATGCAGACTGTTGGGTCTACACCTGGCAGGCAATCGTACTCCTTTGATGGCAACTCCCTTAATTAGATGCTGTGTTTGACATGCCTGTTAATGGGTCTATTCTACTTTTCTTTATTAACCCAGAATGGGGCCCCAGAAGCCAGACAGGGAGCCTTATTAAATAAATTATATAGAATTTGATGTGGGTGGGGGGGGGGGGGGGGGGGGGGGGATACAAGTAAATGAGAATTCTATAGAAATTGGCTAGAATAAAAATGGAAGGGCATGACAAGAGATTTGAGGGCCTATGCTTCACAAGGAGCTACAGTAAAAGGCTGATTGAACAGACTGTACAAGTTGTGTACTCACCTGTGGTCTCCTGTACATAAAGTCTGTCAACAATCTGTCTGTCATATGTTCTCAAATGCTCCAGGGCCTCCTCATACATGCCGGCCTCCTGCATCACCATGTTCTGGTAGAGCAACAACTCGCTGTGCTCATAGTCATAGGCTGCCTTAGGCTGCAAGGGACAAACATATCATGTCAGTGCTGGGCAGCAGTATAATCAACATTTATGCGTTTGAAGTAATATTTCCTAGCTGCTGGTGATTTGGCAGTTGGTTTTGATAGTGGCATCGAAAGCTGTGTGTCCAGAAAGCAAAGGCGAAACTAGTGAAAGTAGATGTGCCTTGTAACATCACAAACAACCCTAAACAACACAACAATGCTGGGGTTGGTTCTGCAATGTTCCGTATAGCAACTAATACGCGACCAATATTGAACAAAATAACACTGGCAACATCTGCTGTCTTCATCAAGACGGTGCTCATCAGGAAACATCATCTTCATCCTCCTGTTACCCGTCACAGGGGGCTTGAGGTTGATTCTTTCATTCGTATTGTCCTATGCAACTGTTTAATATCACGGTGCCCCTTAACAAGCATGTCATAAAAGTAGATTGCATCTACCTGATAGGCAAGGAACCAACAGTCTGTGTACAGATATATCTGTAAAATGGAGGTGCATACAAAACTTAGGTTCTTCTTCTTCTTGGTTCATCCGAAGATGTAATTGCGTTGTGTCCGTTTACAGCATGGCTGCGATATTTGCCCCATTTTGGCCAACACATCCGACTTCTGCAGGCATTTGCTGACCGGGTTAGCCTTCCCGGTAAACTTAGGTTCTGGAACAAGACAGAAGTCTAGAAATGGATGGAACTACCAGAACTTTCTGCTGGAGTTTACAGCCAGTAAACCCAAATAAGAAAAAAGTAAAAAGTAGCAATGGGCTGCAGTACACCAATCAGATCACAGAGCACAGGCTCAACATAAATATATTAAGTAAGATAAGGGACTGGGAGGCTAAGAATGAGACAAACTGATGACAACTATGCAATTACAAGATCATCAACATACCGTTTGGGTTTTCCTAAACTCCTCAAGGATCTTCAAGCACATGTCATAATCCTTCAGTAAATGGTATGCCATTGCATAGCCAATCCAGGACACCCTCTGACCAGGCCTTAAGGCCAACAGCTGATACCTTGTTTCCTGAAGAAGAAAAGAAGTGTGAAATTAGTTGATCAATGGTTAGAACCTAAAGGAGACATAACTCTCACATGCTGAGACTGCTTTCTTCTTCTTCTGCTTTCATCTGAAGATGTAAATGTGTTGTGCCCATTAACAACATGGCTGTGATATTGCTGCTTAATTTCTGACATGTCTGACTTCTGCAGGTATTTGTTGTCTGGTTTAGTTTCCCCAGGAGATTACTTTCAATACCACCCAATTAGTCGAGCGTCATTAAACCATGGCATGTAAATATTGGACAATGTGCAGAGTATCTTTTTTAACCAGTCTTCCCTCTGCTCTACCTGACCACTCATCACTTTAACCAGTCTTCCCTCTGCTCTACCTGACCACTCATCACTTTAACCAGTCTTCCCTCTGCTCTACCTGACCACTCATCACTTTAACTAGTCTTCCCTCTGCTCTAACTGACCACTCATCACCTTAACCAGTCTTCCCTCTGCTCTACCTGACCACTCTTCACTTTAACCAATCTTCCCTCTGCTCTAACTGACCACTCATCACCTTAACCAGTCTTCCCTCTGCTCTACCTGACCACTCTTCACTTTAACCAGTCTTCACTCTGCTCTACCTGACCACTCATCACTTTAACCAGTCTTCCCTCTGCTCTACCTGACCACTCATGACTTTAATCAGTCTTCCCTCGGCTCTACCTGACCACTCATCACCTTAACCAGTCTTCCCTCTGCTCTACCTGACCACTCATCGCCTTAACCAGTCTTCCCTCTGCTCTACCTGACCACTCATCACCTTAACCAGTCTTCCCTCTGCTCTACCTGACCACTTATCACCTTAACCAGTCTTCCCTCTGCTCTACCTGACCACTTCATCACCTTAACCAGTCTTCCCTCTGCTCTACCTGACCACTCATCACCTTAACCAGTCTTCCCTCTGCTCTACCTGACCACTCATCACTTTAACCAGTCTTCCCTCTGCTCTACCTGACCACTCATCATTTTAACCAGTCTTCCCTCTGCTCTACCTGACCACTCATCATTTTAACCAGTCTTCCCTCTGCTCTACCTGACCACTCATCACCTTAACCAGTCTTCCCTCTGCTCTACCTGACCACTCATCACCTTAACCAGTCTTCCCTCTGCTCTACCTGACCACTCATCACCTTAACCAGTCTTCCCTCTGCTCTACCTGACCACTCATCACCTTAACCAGTCTTCCCTCTGCTCTACCTGACCACTCATCACTTTAACCAGTCTTCCCTCTGCTCTACCTGACCACTCATCACTTTAATCAGTCTCTCCTCTGCTCTACCTGACCACTCATCACTTTAACCAGTCTTCCCTCTGCTCTACCTGACCACTCATCACCTTAACCAGTCTTCCCTCTGCTCTACCTGACCACTCATCACCTTAACCAGTCTTCCCTCTGCTCTACCTGACCACTCAACACTTTCTGCTATCTACCTATATACTGCAGAATCTGCTTAAATTGTATTGTTTTCTCTGGATTTTCTGGTCACCTAGTTAGCTACCTTATATTTCTCTTTACATAAATACTGTATTTGTTCTTGAACATTATGACAATCTGTTATTGTCATTTCTGTCTTTGTCTGTTGCATTATTATGGTGATGGTGTTTATTTCGGCTCATTAATGAAATCCTCCATTTTAATAAATTTTTGTAAAACAGACCTTCTATAATTCATGTTGCTATTAATATGTTTTCAATCTTGTAAATGGGGAAACAGTAAATTACAAGTAATCCATGACTCAATCACTAGTCTGCTGACTCTTTCAGGACCCATGTTCTAGCCTCCATGAATGAAAACTCTCATGCCTCAAACTCTAGCCTGCAGAGATCACTAATGCCTGAATCTCTAGCGAGGAGAGATCTCTAATGCCTGAATCTCTAGCGAGAAGAGTTCTCGAATGCCTGAATCTCTAGCGAGGAGAGATCTCTTATGCCTGAATCTCTAGCCTGCTGAAATGGATCTAAGCCACTACATAAATTAAAACACTGTACATACCCTGTAACCTTCGATGTCCCTCATCTGAATCTGCAGTAGAGACAAATCCCTTAAGATCTGAATGTTGTCCTAAAGAGAGAGAAACAAATATTTTATAACTTATCATTAGCTAACAATTACCTGGAAGCGGTGAGGATGTTTTATAAATAAATGATGCGATTACAGATAAAAAGAGTAATGAAGCTGTCTCAAAAGAAAGTGACTCACGAAGAGAACTGATTGCCCACACAAGAAAAAAGACAATCTACATTCTTTGGTCATATCATGAGACAGAAAACTGAATGACGGGAAAGCTGAAGGAGAAAAGAGGCTGAGGCAGACCCAGCGAGAAGACGCTGGACTATCTGACATGGCATGGAAGATTATATGTCCTACTGACTCAAAACAAACAAGAGACATTGCAGATAGGACAAGACTACCAACACTATACAGCACAGACTATAAGAGGCAATCTTCTTCTTCTTCTGCGTTCATCCAAAGATGTAATTGTGTTGTGTCCGTTTACAGCATGGCTGCAATATTTGCACCTTTCGGCCAACACATCCAACTTCTGCGGGCATTTGTTGACCTGGTTAGCCTTCCCGGTAAGTTTCTGGGGTCATGGCAGTCTCATTGTTGTGTGGTCATCTTTATTTCCCAGGTCACAGGTGGTGCCCCCAAACAGGCTCATCCAGAGGCCACATAATGCTGATCAGCCCTCAAGAGAAGGCAGGGGCAGAACATGAGCACTAGGCTCACCCAAGGATTCGTCATGTCCTACTCATGACTGTTTAACCTCACTTCCATGTATTGAACATCTCATACATCGTGGGCTATCTCTTTTGTAGCCAACAGTATGCTGGAATTTCAATAAGAGGAAATGATCATCACAGCTTTGCTGCATAATACATGTATAGGAAAATGATGGTCTCATGGTTCACACAGACACATTAGATGTGGACAGACAGTGATGCACTCATTCCATTTTGTGCAGCAAGAACAGGTTAAGGATTTCACTAAAATGTAACTAAAAGTTCCTTCATTATGACTGAACAGGTTAGAATTTTCTCATACACCAAAATGGTATAGACTAGAAATTTCTTAAATACAAGTTTTTAGGCTTGAGCTTTTTCAGACACTACAATGAAGGAGGGCGGAGTGTGGAGGAGGAAGGGTGAGATGAAGGGAAACACAAAAGAGAGAGAGGAAAAGGGAGGATGGAGTGAGAGTAGGAAGGGACATACACAGATAGAGAGAGAGAAAGTGTGAGAGGAAGGGAAAGGAAGGAAGGAAAATAGATACAAAGAGAGAAAGATAAGGAGTGAGTGAAGGAAAGGAAAGGAGGAGGGGAACACACACACAGAGGAAAAGACAGAGGGAGAGGGTGGGCAGAATGAGAGGTGGAAAAAAAGGAGGGAAAAAAAACACACACACAAAGAGAGAGACATTTAGCCAAAGTTTTTAAGTAAAGATTTAAAGTAGCACAACATTACCTTGTCCCATTTGAGTGCATTGCGGTAGCATTTGATGGCTTCATCATATTTGCGATCTGAACGCTGCAGCAAACCGTAAACATGCCAGCCTTGTTTTGGTTAAAGAAACGGCAAAGGAAATGAAACAATTCTAACTAGTGACAGACACAGAAAGAAGGCCAACTTCAGTTGTAGAAACAGATACAAAATGGAATCTATACGGCCAAGTAAATGATCTTTTTCCACGACCTAGGGCTTGACCTATTCTGTAATAAGCAGGACTATTCAGGGGCCAAGTTTACTCATAGAGACTTAATTCTGAAAAAGGGGATAGTCACAGGCTAAAGCCTTAGCCACAACACCAAAAGATCCTTAATACTACAGAAATTCAAAACATGGGTACGATCTGCGGATCACTTGCTAGGCCTCTGAGGGGGGGGGGGCAGTTGAATAGCCCTGGTACAGACCATCGGCATTCGGTGGGTAATGTGGTCAACATCGCGCCGTTACCTGGTACCCATTTCAAGTTGAGTCGACTGGGAGAAGAAGTCACTTCTGGGGGGGAAAAAAAAAAACTGGCCCGAGGTGAGCAGCTAGCCACTAGACTACAGCGCCTACCAACATGGCTAAAAGGTCAGGCTGTCTCATCTCTGAACGTTACAGATTCGTTTTTCAGAAGCTGCCCTTCAGTTCATGAGTGTGGGGGTGCCAGAACTATTCAGTCTGTGCTTTGGACACCTCTTGTTAGCAGCCAGCCACTCAACACTCGTGCAGTCATACTGCCAGTGCAGGTTCCATGCCCCCATTTTAGCAGAGGAAAAAATTAAGACCATTTGTGCTTGTGGCTTAGGATTTATGTTGTCTTATTCAATGATAAAGACTTTAGAAACACTTTAGAAAAATATCTGGTCGTATCTGTGGGCATCTTTTCCTCATCCCTTGTAAAACTCTGTAGTCAAAGTTTGTGTTAATACAACTTTGCTTTCAAATCAGGTTGTCACTGGCATCTTCAACATGGAAACGCCTTACTGACTAATGAAGAAGACGACACAGCACTTGGGAATATCCTGTGTCAATTATTAACTCATTTATTCAACATTTTTTGTATTCACCAGCTGCAAAGTCTGGCAGAAAGTTCTGCTTGTATGTCCACTTCAGGACTAGTATTTTTTAACAACCTGAATGTAAGTTGTTTTTTTACAACCCTAAATGTTGGGTCCTTGCCTCGGGTAGATATAGATTTTGAACTATCAATCAGTCGACTCTTACGACCTGCTTGTTGGGGAGGCAATGGTTCTATTAATTTCCCCAACAATAGCGAACTGGAACTTACAAGGGAAATTTATTCACTCAACTATCTGATTCTCTTGCTATGTAGATTTCAGATAAAGACTTTCCATTTTCAATTATATTAAATATAAACACATTTATTTATAATTATTGTGTCAATTGCATAAGTTTAGAGCTGTAAATAACTAATGATATTTATGAGCTCTGATTAGCACATGAATAGTCAATTACTAAACTGAATGAAACTATTAGAAAATCTAAAGATTTCTGCACCAGATGCCATCAAAGGATACACACATGGCTGGTCAAATCATTACGCAGGCCACGTTTCACAAACTCATAGGCCTCCTCTTTCCTTCCTAAACAGTTCAACGTCAGGCCTTTCATTGCCAGTGTTTCTGTCAATTAAAAAAAATATATATATATACAAATCATTCTCAAATCTGGCACTGTCTTCAAGAAAAACGCAAAAAAACGTATATTGCATGTTATATTCTGTTCTGTATATGAGGATTAGTCGGCTCTGTGGCTAAGTCGATGCGAACGCTCCGTAATTCCGGGATCGATCCCAGCTGCGGGCCATGCGCCTTGCATTGGTTTCGACAGGGGGTATCAAGAAAGCCCACCGTCCAGAAAGCAATGACAAACTACTGGACGTAAATTTGCCTAAAAAAACCACACAACAGCAGGGGCTGTTGAGGTTGGTTCTGCAACGTCCTGTAAAGGATACACAACTAACCTTATATGAGGATTAGAACAAGAGTAACATCCCATTCAGTTTTAACGTATGCCGATGAAAGCTGGAGACCCACTAAAGACATGGTACGAAAGTTCAATGCATCTGAAAACAAAAGCCTGAGGAAAATACTGAACATAAAATGGGACGAATTCAAGAGAATGAAGAAATAAGAGAAATGTCCAGGTAACCATGGTAACACCAGTTAAAAGACAAAGAAGATGGCGCTTTACTGGACATATCATGAGGAGACAAAAATGAAAAGTGAATTCCCATGTAGGCACTAAAATGGAAAATAAAAGAAGCGAGGAAGTCCAAAAGGAACTCAAAAACATATGATGAGAGAAGCCAAAAGTGCTTGACTTTCACAGCCAGTGTTGATGTCAGATCTTCACCATCAGGCTGGCCCTGCCCCTGCTTATTCTTCCCAGAACCCATTATTTTTTTTTTTCAAATAATGCACATACACCATTTTTTCTCTTTACATTTATTCTCTATTCAACTTGGTGCAAAAATACAAAATATGATAAGTGTATGTTAAACAGTTATGAAGCTATGGTATTTTTTAGTAAACACTAAAATACGTGGTATCATGAAAAGTGCAAAGGTTAACAGGCATGGCAGTTAGTAGGTTAAGAACATCAAGACAGTAGGCGTCTCTGACCAAATCTCGTTCAACAGAAAACAGTTTCATTTCTGTGCCAGGAAAATCTGGGTCATGAGGGAACAAATGAGCGGACTGGCTTGGTCACAGCTGGCATGGGAAAAGCAATGAATCCGACCGATGTTCTCAATCCTCTCAGGGAGGGCAATGAGAACAAGTAGGTGATACAGAAGACAGTGAATCGGCAACCTTGACAAGACTACAAGTTATGTCCAAAGAGGTGTTGCCAGACATGAACACTATACATGCAGCCAAAAAAAAACAGTAAACCAATATAGAACTTGTGTTGTCAGTCGCCAGATGCTGAGGGAAATAATGAAGATGGCATCCAAGCCTTTTTGGGACTTTGATCAGTCAATTAACTAACCCAGTCTGCTGTTTGACCATCGCTTGATGTTATTCTCACACTGGTGTCACAATTTATAAGCTCCATCTCACTTGCTTTAATTATAAGAGCTGTGTTACCAAAATATTTATCTCCTTTTCCCCAGCAAGTCAGAGATTCTCACACTGCATTATAATTCTAAATATTCTTCTGTGACTATGGTTACAAAAATATAATGACTGCCTCTTTCTGATATGTAATAAGCTGTCCATGTTTCTTAGCCTGTTTCAAAATATTGCAATCATCAATTTTGGCTTAACATCCTAAAGTCAAAATCCACTAGAAGATGTATGATAAACATACATATGATGAATGAATAAGATGCAGAAAAGAAGATTATGAAGTAAGATGTATGAATAAAATATAAATGAGATTAGAAATATTAAACATTACCTCCATGTTCTGCAAATTTTGGGTTTGCCAAAATTTGCTTGGCGAACTTTAACCCATTCTTGTACTGTTTCTGTTCATAGCATTTCTGAAAGAGAATATATAATACATGTATAGAAACTTCAAGATCTTCGATTCTTGTGTGATTCCTGTACTAACCTATGGATGCGAGAGCTGGAAATCAACGACACTCAGCAAACACACAAAACTCAAGATCTTCGATTCTTGTGTGATTCCTGTACTAACCTATGGATGCGAGAGCTGGAAATCAACGAAAACTCTAGACACAAAATTAGACAGTTTTGAAAATAAATAAATGCCTTAGAAGAATACTAAATTTCAAATGGTCAGATTTCCGAACCAATACACAAATAAGGCAAGAATCCAGGCAAGAGTATGTGTCTAATTTTATACGAAAACGCCGCTGGAACTATGTCGGCCACGCCCTTAGAATGGATAAATCAAGACTTCCTTACCAAGCCCTCATTTGGACACCACAGGGGAAAAAATCTTGTGGAAGACCAAGGGAAACCCTACGTAGAACTATCATCAGGGAAGGCTCGCTCATGGGCCACTCAAACATCCAAGACCTACAACAGATTGCAACGAACCGCCATGCATGGAGAGTCATGACCTCTGCCCTATGTGCCGCACTCGACACAAGAGGAAAGACTAACTAACTAACTAATAGAAACTTTAAACACATGACAGGGTAATGGGTATTAATGGATGCCACAGATGACAAAACAAAGGGTGTTGATAGATGCCATCAGAAGATCAACAACCCATAACTTCAAACAGGGGTATAATAAGGGAGGCATAGACATTTCTGATCTCTATCCTCTACAACACATTAAAACAAAATGTGGATTAATATGGGCCACCCATTATCTTTTGATTTCCTCTCTTTCTCTCTCTCTGCACAAAACTATCTCCTGTAGAATTATTATGTTCTGACCAGGATGATACACGCTGCTGCGAGTGGCGGAGACTTGGGGGAGGGGAGTGGCAGTGGTGGAGAATTATATTACCAAACTAAGAATGTTTAACATCAAATAAATCTTGCTGTATGTTTTAGGAAAATGTGGTGCAGTGATTGTAGTCACAAACATCAGGGAAAGCTAAGGCCATTGTGTTGTGCGTATAAAAAGACACTGTACTTCAACCTGGGTGCCAGCAGGCTCTGTGCAGGTTTTATGGATTCTCATGCAAGATTCGTGCCATGGATAAAGGCCTATAATGTCCTGAATCAAACTGGCAGGGGATCGGATATGACAGGCTAAAGGGTGCAGTAGTGCAGCCTAGCTAAAAATCACAACACAATGATCCAACCACCTTTTTCAGGGTAAATGCAAAAGGTGATTAGAAATCTGTCTTTCTTTAGCATCCATCTGTTTGATTTTTATCTCACACAGATTCCATCACAGCAAACGCTTTATCTACCTGCCAGTGAGTAGGCTTCCTGTCTAATCAACTGACAAGAGTGGGGCCTGCTATTTTTATGTCCAACTGGTAAGGTTTTTTTTTTAACATGTAAAACAAGTTACATTCTGAGCATCGCACTGGATTCGCCTGACTGTAAAATGTCTTAACGCTGTGAAGAAAAACCTAAGTATAAACCCAAATAGTCTGTATGTGCAATGATAAACAATGAACAGTTGCATCCGAATCTCTGCTGAAGTGATATTTTAGTACTAGTCTTTTACACTATTTCTGAGTGGAGAAGGAAAGGAGAGCTCAGGCACAAGGACCCTGTGGAAATGACACTTTGGAAGAAATCTGTGCCAACTTCATGGATGCAAGAAATTGTCAGGATTCAATTCCTGTGTTCAGCACTTGAAATTCAGCCCTTCAGGGGTTTCGCAATAAAGCAACCATTTGACAAGGCTGGTTATCAAATCTCCCAACAAGTTAATGGAGGGAATAACAAAGAAAAGCCATCCCCCCCCCCCCCCCCCCACCCCAAGAAGTGACCTTGGCTCCCAGGTCAATCAAAGCTTAACATGTGTACCAGGTAGTTGTGCAAGTAAAGGCAGCCAGCATGATGTTGACCATATAATTCACCAAATGCCATTTCTATTGTATTACTGATCTTTCTGTGTGGGGGGCTAAGGCTTATGGGCCGCAACTATCCCCATTTTCAAAACTGTAGCCTCTGAGTAACTGAACAGACCTGGTTTATACAGTGCAGGTCGAGCAGCATCAGAGAAAGAATTGTCATTAAACCCCTACTGCTTTACAAATAAAAAAGCACACTCAGAAATGGTTTGTTTAACTATGACGCCAAACTATACAAAGCAGATACAAGAAAGAGAGAGGCGTATGGTCCTGAGTTAAATAAGAGCAAGGTGGAAAGTTATCAGAGAAACTCTGCAACAGTATCAACTGTCTGTGGCTGAGTTAGCCAGAAGATGAGAACCAGTGCTGTTTATCTCTCCTGAGGATCTCTCATTTTAGAAGATCTGCCCCTGCCTTCCCCCTCCCCACATATTTTATAATTGTCATACTGAAGAAGAAATTTAGGCTATCCTCTGACTAACGGTCGATAAAGATGGCGGCAGCAAAATATCCTTTCGAGCCACAGTCACGTGCCTTAATTTGCGGCTCTCCTGCGACCACAGCCACGTGTCCCCCACGCGGCATGGAATGGGGCTAAACTAGATGGCTAGGACCCACGAGCAGCAATGTTACACTACAACAGTCTTTGGTCAGTGTGTACTAAAGAAATCTGGCTAAATATTCTCCTATGAAGTCTCTTTGAATGCAACACTCTGATGCTTTCTCTCTCTGGTTATTGTGCCAGACTGGGTTTAAGCTGTGGAATCAGCTGGACTGAAAGAGTTAAATTTGTTCTGTAAACTACGGAAGGTTCCTGGTCTACCAAAATGGAAATACTGCAGTAATGTATTCACTGCTTAAGTACCAGGCAGGCAGATATAACTGAACTCACCTTTTCTCCTAAAAGTTTTGGTACTCCCAAGTAATAAATGTTTGGGTCAAAATGACTGAAAAACTCTGAAAGACGAGCTGAATAGTTGGAGTTGGGGCAGTGTCATAACTGGACAGGAAAAATGTGAAAGTTAAAAAAAAAATGTATACTGTCAGTAGAACCCAACAAATACATGTTGAGTTACTTGATAATGAAATGAGTTCAATGAAAGCCAGCTAACTTCACCGGGTTTCATGTCATCAAACTCTATGGCCTGTTACTGTTTTGAGTACCTTATGTGAACTCTCAGTCTCAGACAACTTCTGCTTTTCAATCACTCTTCTTATCTAGCAGGTTACTTTAAAACTTAAAAAAATTCTGACTAAAGAGTTGAAATAGCATTAACAGTAACAACTAGAACTTGCATATATAATAAGTGTAAAAACTGAGTCGTGCATAAGGAGGAGGACAAGAGTATCATGTAAGAAGTACTCATAAACATAGCGAGTTGCTCGGCACTGAATGAGTGAATGACTCCTTTGACCACAGCTGGCCCACAAAACTTTTTTTAAATCAGCATCTGAGTATCACACACAACAGTCAGGGCTGTCACAACAGCCAGGGCTGTTGGGGTTGGTTCTGCAATGTCCTATACTGTAAAGGATATGCAACTAACCTCACCTAGAGCATCATATAACCAACTGTAATTTTATGTGTTGCTGTTTTTCCCTCTATTGGTGATGCATTTTTTTCACTGCTGATGAATTACTTTGGTGAAACACTGATAAACTCAAAACTGATAAATTAAAACTCTCAGAGCAGACTTCAATCAATCAATCAAGCACTGGTTTCAACTGCTGTTTTGTTGGACTGTAATGGACTGTTGGATGACAAAATTTGGCAGCTCTTTGATCTATTAATATTCCCTAGCCATTTGTGCTTTGTCTCGGTTGATATACTGTTTGGAGTGAATGGGAAGAAGTCATGAACCAATAATTTAGGTGATAGAAAACTAGTACCATTCAAAATTCTTTCATAGTTTTGCGACTGTTTTTCACATTCTTCCATTATGGTGGTCGAAAATAGGGGAGACTACAGTGGATCATCAAGACAACACAAACTACAACCACAAAGCTTAAAAGTGAGCTGGGTAGTCATAGCTGTTGTTCGGTTACTTTTCGCTGAAATGTACGTGACAAGCTGTTTTATTTCACAACTGAAACCTAGCCAGTCAACTGCTCAGTGAAGCATCTCCGTACTTGTTGGACACGGTAGCCGACATGACTAACCAAAAATAACCCCGACAACTTCAAGTACCCACACGAAACGCAAAACTAACACATTTTCAATCAGATCTCGCCATCAACAGTCTTACCAGAATGCGTTTGAAGAACGCATTTTCTTTAGGGGGTAGTGGATTCTTGGATGGCATTTCAACGATCTGTGTATGTACAGTGAGAAGTTAGGGAAGCTGAGATGAGGTGAGAACTTCCATGCACCCACGAGGGGTAATTTCCGATATGGCGGAACAGCAAGGAGACAAGTCTCGCATCTATCGAGACCTCGTCTCCAGCTCTTTCAAATCTAACGCAGCACGCAAATTTTTTTTTTTTTTGGTATCCCGTAAATTTGTATTTTTAAAAATAGAAAGTGGCGTGTTTTGTTAGTTTTATATACAAATGTGAAGTTATTTGGCGTTTTGTTGAAATCCCGAGTGATATCACTAGTGTTGCCACTTTGGATGTTTTATATCTAGATCTAGATTTTTTTTCTTTCTTGTATCTAGATGGTGTTTTGACGTCTAGATGGTAGATGTAATTCTAGATGGTTTTTCATTTGGAGTTTTATAAAAAAAAATTTGTTGATATTTTACTTTAAAAAAAAATCTTTTAGTGTCAGTTTAATAACTAATGTATGACATATTTATTACACATTTTTTGTTTTGGTGTGGGCATATTCACTGTAGTAACTGCGATTACTTGAAATTTGAACTCACTGGGATCAACGCTCAGCAATCTGGCAGTACTGATTAAGAGCGCGCCTAAATCATATTGTCTTTGTTTGATCTGTATCCTCACCGTGTTGTGAAGTATAGCTGTGATGCTGACTTTGTAGCTTTTTTTTTTTTTTTTTTTTTTTTATAATTGCTTACCTTCATATATGTCTTCCACTTTGGAAAACCTTTCACAACATGCCAAAAGTAAAGCAGTATGAGCAAACATTTCGGAATGAGTGGCTGCAAGATGACAAAATTAAAGACTGTGTGATGGCAGTTCCTGGGGATACGACTAAGGCTCGTTGTAAGTACTGCAAGTGTTAAATTAATGCGAAAATACAAGACTTAAAGAGTCATGCAGAGACTTAAAAAGCATAAAACTGCCGTTCCATTCAAAAATATTACACCGCTGACATCTGTTTTCAGAACTAAACCGATTCATTAATCATCAAAAGTTTAAGGATCTGTCGCAATGTTTTTAAGTTGTCATTGTGCAATTTCAAACTGTGACCATTTGATTGATTTGTTTCAATCACTATTTCTGACAGTAAAGTTATCGATGACATAAAAATGCATCGCAGCAAGTGTACACATGTTATAAGAGATACTTTATTTTCTTACTTTGAACAAGATTTGATCTGTGATATTTCTACAAATAAATACAGCTTATTGTAAGATGAATCAAATGACATTTATGTACTTAAAGTGTTTGGTGTGTGTATTATATATTACAACAGTAAAGACAAATTCCCTGCCACCAAAGTTTCCTTACTTATAATAGATAGACTAGTTTCAATCTTGGACTAAATTGGAAAGTGTGAGGCAGAAAGTATAGTTCAGGAACTGTAGACACTTTTAATCAGCAAACAATTAGACTTGAAGAATTTGGCTGCAATTGGTACCGATAATGCGGTACCAATAATGCGGTACCAATAATGCGGTACCGATAATGTCTCGGTGATGGTTGGTATAAACAATGGCGTTTATGCCAAGTTGGAGGAAGCTATCCCATCGTTAATACTTATAAAAATGTATGTGTCATTCATTGCAGCTAGCATTATCACATGCTTCATCTGAATGTTTACCAAGAAATTTGGAATACATTATTGCTGAAACACATAACTGGTTTTCCAAATCATTTGTCAGACAACAGCAATACAATACATTATGTACAGCCTTGAATGATGGTTCCATACCACTGAAAATTCTGTCAGATTGCAAAACTAGATGGTTATCAATTCAACCAGCTGTTGAAAGAGTTGTGAACTAATGGTTGGAATTGAAGACACACTTTGAAATAACAAGACAAAGTGATAAGTGCTACACAGCTGAAATAATATATGGAATGTACAGTGATGAAAAAAAAATGGGCATTCCTTCTCTTTTTACAACCTATTCTAATGTAAGTGCAAAAAGTTAATAAACTGTTCGAATCTAAACATGTTGATAAAGTTAAATTACTTGACGATCTCACTTTGCTATTTCCCTCAGGTGGTAAAGGACTAGTGTTGACAAATGCTAAAGCTGCTTTGCTCACAATAGAAAGCTATTTGCCTCCTAAGCCATACCTTGGATATCAAATGAATCAAATATTGATGATTTAAAAACAAAAGGACTGTTAACAGAGAATTAAGAGAACAACTTAAGAAAACGCTGTGAAGATTTCCTTATCTCAATATTCAAGTAATTGAAGCAGAGACTTCCTGAAAATCTAGATGTATTTAAAAATATTTCACTCTTTTCTGTGAGCAACATACTTCAACCAGTAAAGGATATACCTAAATATTGTAAAGTTATGACATTTTTTAGGGACTACTGATAACAGTGTCGCGGAAGCAGAATATCAGTTAACCAAAATAAACTTAGTTGACTGGACAAACAAAACCGAAACTGAAGCGTTTTGGAGTGAAGTGAGACAATTTGAAGATTTGCCTCATCAAACAGTCCATTCTGTAAGCTCTTTGAATGTGCCATGTCTGCCATGATACTACCCCACTCAAATGGTGATTCAGAAAGAGTTTTCAGTGCTATGAATTATATCAAATCTAACCTAAGAAATAGGAGGAAATTTGACCTCTTAAATGCTATCTTGACAATAAAATTCGGTCTGATGAGAGTATTAAAATGCTGTAAAACTTATCAGCTCCCAGATTGTGTATTAAAAGAAATTGGAACAGCTAAAGCATACCAAATCTTGGACAAAGAAGATGAGAAATATTGACATCTTTAAAGATCTGAACATCAAGGAAGATTGGCTAATAAACAGCATCCTTTCTCGAAAACTGAAATATTTTGTTCATATTAAGCGCCGCGACGGATTGGGAAAAAATATAGCATGGTACCAGGAAGGAGGGGCAGGGGCCGACCAACACGAAGATGGGCACAGGATATAAGTGACTCCTTGAGTGTGAAAGTTCATGAGGCGGGAGAACTGGTGAGAGACCGAGTTTCTTTCGGGCAGACTGTGATGAGAGCGACGTTCTGCAAAGGACCCACTACATGATGATGATGAAAGCATGCCAAAGTCATTTTGGATCTGAAGCTTCAACTTCATCATCCAAGCTAAGTTTATCCTGAGGATCTTGTGAGGCAGACATCAGTGAAGATGAGGACATGATTCTATATGGTAAGTCATATCAATAGCTACGTAATTTGTGACACTTTCCATTTTGGATGTTTTTTCTAGATGCTTTTCACGCAAATTTAGATGTTTTTAAATATTTTTTTACTCCGTTATGGATGTTTTTGTCAAAGAAAAGTGGCAACACTGGATATCACCGAGAGAAGAAAAAAATGGCGTCGAGCATTTGTTGTGTTGTTCTTTATTAAAGACAGACGGATCTTTTGTTATTGTTTACACTATTACCGGGCGGTCGGAGGAAACATCTATTAAAAGTATATTACGGTTAAATAAACGTGATTTACTTGTATTATACGGATTCTATGAAACAAATGGACCAACAAAGAATGAAGCCGCCTGTAGGTGACGGGGGAACGGACCCAGCAGAAGCTGAAGGGGTTAGAGTGATCGAGAAGCAGGCACAGAAGCGAATATTCAAAATCATAGTTATTGGAGATTCCAACGTAGGCAAGACATGCCTGACCTACCGGTTTTGTAGTGGGAAGTTTCCTGATAAAACAGAGGCTACCATTGGCGTTGATTTTCGCGAGAAACAGTTGGAAGTGGATGGAGAAATTCTAAAGGTTTTCCGCCTTTTTATTTTTTATTAGATGAAGACTAAAATTAAAATACTCCACAATACATTGCAGTTATTCTGATTCTTTCTTATATTACTGTAGCTACTTCAGTCAAATTTTTAAAATGCCCTCTACACCAATAAAACCAGCACAGTTAGATAGCTGTAAACAATCTCTTTCCAATGGTACCTCATTTAGGCTTGTATGTCATTTCTGAGCTGAGATATGTAGGTTTTTGTGGAGATGAGATGTAAGAAACAGCCGCTAAAACTTGTGACCCAGAAACAAGAAGTTTTTTACTGCGCAACCTACTGCGCAGTTCTGTGTCGGCTTTGTTGACATTGGACTGTCATTGGACAAGATGGCAGGCAGTGAGACTCAGCTCACTCAGCCGCATGCGATTGCCTAAAAAAATGTCACTGTAAATCTAAACAGCCAGAGTCGGGAAAAAAAATTTAATATGCAAATGTAAAAATTGGACGGAGAATTCAATTGTAACTAGCATTACCACAACTGGTAATGTTTAAGCCTAAAGCCAACCTCGAATTTACCGCTATTTTCAATCAAACTGATAGACTAACAGAAAAACAGAGAATGTCCGGCTGTCGTAGACATGCGCTGTTAATCGGGTTCCTTCCCGCCGTTTTCAGCTATTTAGAGTGGGTGAAAATCACACCAATGGCAAAATTTCATGAGAGATTAGGACCCATCCCGAAACCCCAGCCGACATTTCCAAAACAAGTTTTAAACGGTTTCTATGGTAACGGAAATTGTCGAAAAGATAGCAAATTTCCGAAACTGTGGTCCCTATATTACTGTCATTGTCATAAAAACTTGTAGATTTAACATTTATCACATGTTCCTCTGTTTGGATATGAAAATATTGATCACTATGCAATAGTTGGGCAACATTCTGATATATGATGCTGATAAAACTAATTTTTGAAACAAATTTGTTCAGTTTACATTATAATCATTGCCCTCTTGAGTCGTAATGCATATGCCTGAGAGGCAGGGAACCGACAGCCAGATTTTTCCAACCAGTGAACACTAAGAAGGAGACTATCATCAGTGTACTCGGAACACGTCATGCATGCTTCAATTTCTTCAGTAATTCCATCATTCTATGGCAGCTGACTGACTATTTTTTCTTTATCTTTTAAACCCATTTTTCTAAATATATACTGGTGAGATTAGGGTTAGGTGTCTTCTGAAGGCTGTCTGTTTGACTACAGAGTGAGAAACATACTTGTCCAAATTCTAGAAACAACACCTTGTTTCACATACATTGAAAAGCAGATCAGATGTCTTGGGAATCTTGTTAGAATGCAACATCACCAATTGCCATCGCAAACACTGCATCTACAACACTCAGAGAAAAAGCAAGAGGACATACATACAATTAGACTGCTACTGCTTCCAATGGAATAGGAACATTGCGCTGTCTGCTGCAGATGGGAATGGAGAGCTTAAAGAAATTTCCCGGGTGCCGTGACGCTGGTTCTCAACTCAGCTGCATCTACGATGTGCTGATACGACAGTGCTAAGGCACCAGAAGATTTGCACTCTTCCTGCCTACTTCTTGACAGCAGCAGAAGATTTAAGACTGTGCATTCATATGGAATGGCAGTAACCAGTGATCGAGTGCTACACGACCAACTCTTCCTGCTTGACAGCACCAGAAGATTTAAGACTGTGCAATGGAATGGAACCATGCCACTCATCAAGTGCTACACGACCAACTCTTCCTGCCTACTTCTTGACAGCACCAGAAGATTGAAGACTGTGCATTCATATGGAATGGCAGGAGTGCTACACGACCAACTCTTCCTGCCTACTTCTTGACCGCACCAGAAGATTTAAGACCGTGACGCTGGTTCTCAACTCAGCTGCATCTACGATGTGCTGATACGACAGTGCTAAGGCACCAGAAGATTGAAGACTGTGCATTCATATGGAATGGCAGTAACCAGTGCCACTCATCGAGTGCTACACGACCAACTCTTCCTGCCTACTTCTTGACAGCACCAGAAGATTTAAGACTGTGCATTCATATGGAATGGCAGTAACCAGTGCCACTCATCAAGTGCTACACGACCAACTCTTCCTGCCTACTTCTTGACAGCAGCAGAAGATTTAAGACTGTGCATTCATATGGAATGGCAGTAACCAGTGCCACTCATCGAGTGTGCACTCTTTCATATGACCAGCAGCAGAAGATTTAAGAATGGCAGTAACCAGTACTACTCATCAAGTGCTACACGACCAAGTCTTCCTGCCTACTTCTTGACAGCACCAGAAGATTTAAGACTGTGCATTCATATGGAATGGCAGTAACCAGTACTACTCATCAAGTGCTACACGACCAACTCTTCCTGTCTACTTCTTGACAGCAGCAGAAGATTTATTTTATTGCCACCATTGTTTAGACCTCATCATCGTTAGTCAGCAGGGATTTACAGAACATCGCTCTCGTCACTGCACACCTGAAAATCTCTTTTTTTTTTCTAGCCAATTCTCCAACCCTGTGTGCTTTTATAGCCAATGCATTTTCTTTGTCTTGTATCCAGCTTCACAGAGGTCTGTCCCTGCCTCAGTTTCCCAGAAACTACCCTCCATCACCATTTTATCCTGGCCAAATACCTCAGCTTTCAGAACAGGAGGCTGCTAATAAGCCAGTTCTCCTCAATGTTCAAATTATTTAGAATGGCAGTGTTTTACTATATTAATAAAAATGGAACCTCTGAATTTGATTGCCAGATTCTGTTATTGATTTTAACCCGTAGAGTATGAAAAGAATGTTCTGGTCCCAGCTTCTACAGAGAGCTACGCTGAAGAAATGCAGTGAGCAAGAACAGGAGGAAGACCATGCAAATTGCAAAATGATAACATCACAGACAGCTTTAAAGAAGTGCAGATCAGCTTATACAACATATTAGAATGAGCAGATCCTCTCCCTAACACCTAAAACAGCTAACTGGAGGGTGAAAGAATTAAAGGACCAACCCGCTTCCACACACATACACGGCATATGGTGCTGTTCCCATGTTTTTGTAGACCATTCAGCACACAGTGGATGATGTAGTTGGTGTCAGGCCTGAAACTTTTGTTTTTCATGATGTTTCCTATTGTTTGTTAAAGGCTTCATTACCAGGTGTTTTCGCAGAATAGAGGCATTTAAATTGTATATTAGAATGACTAATGTTGAGCTTTGGAAGAGGAGGGCTTTAAACTGGCACCCACAAGGGCATTGAAATAAAGGTAGACCAAAAACCCATCAGAAAGTTAACTAGAGGGTGAAATTAAAAAAATATTAAGAGGACACGGGGTGAGATGTATATGATAGCAAAGCATAGGATGACTTGATGTGAGTTAGTTGAGGGTGTATGTTCCACTGAGAGATAACGGGCAAAAGAAGATGATTATAGCCTGGACTGGATTGATAGTTCAGGTTTTCTTCTTCTCAGCTCTCACCAGTAGAAAGCTCTGGTTGTTCATCCACTTCTGGACTTTGATCCTATTCCAGATCATGAGTTTTGCTTGCACATCTGTTTCACCTGTCTGGTTTATTTGTATAGTCCAGGTCAATTTTAAAAGCCTGCTTTACTAGGGATTTCTTCTTCTTTTTTTATTCTCTCGGTCAGTGGTTTTCTGATGAGATGACTACAGGTCTCTGTGAAGTCTGTGATGCAACACATGTCCTCCACTGATCCATACAGCTTGGTTTCAACCAAAATGCCCACTGACCAGACCTGAGATCTACCTACAGCATGTCTAAAGCAGACACTCTGTATTTTGTTGTTGTTGTTGTGCCTGCCCACATAACTAACAATGATTGCCTGGAAATGGCTAATGAAAGTAGAGTATTATATACAACATTAAGAAGGGGACAAAGTTCTTTGGTCATGTGATGACAAAAGGAACACTTAAAAATATCGTGATGACTGGAATTATAACTGGTAGAAGAGGCAGACTAAGAGAAATGATAGTGGATGGCTTAATTGACATGTTTTTACCCTGTGTGGGATGCAGGGCCCAATTATAAGGGGAAAATAATAAATGTGCAGCCCATGAACAATCGTGTCATAAAAAGAGACCAGTTAGGAGTTTGCTGAAGTCAGATGTGTTGGGCCAGTAGACACAAATATGGTAATCTTGTTGTTACCCACAATACAGTGTACCACTCAGCACTATTATCCACCTCAGTATTATTCCGATCCTACTTGCACCCATCTGTATATCATGGCAGAGGCCTGCCTTGTCATCTTCTGTAGTACAATATAGAGCAGGGCTATGCAACTGGCTGCCTGCGGGCCAAGTTTGGTCTGCAGAGACCTAGCAAGTGGCCCGCGGATCATTGCCAGTATTAATTATATTTCTATGCTTGCTGGGGATCTGGCCCGTGACAATCTCGTTTTCTAAATGTTGGCACCTGGGTAAACTTAGTTGAATAAACCCTGCCGTAGACGATGTCCAAACCGGAGAACAAAATAACTAAAATGTCTTTGCACTAGAACCCACAGGGGAATAAGAATCAAGTAAGGCCAAACACATGGAGAAGGGAGCTGGAGAATGAAGTTAGAAAAATGTGGAGAGCTGTATGTGATTGCAAAAGATAGAACAACTTGGCATGAGTTGGTTGAGGGCCTATGCTCCATTGAGGGCTAGAAAGGCAGAAGAAGAAGAGGTTATCCTTGGGGCTCTACCAGCCTCCAGACTAAGTATGTCCTAGCCGTCTGAGCCTTTAAAAACTGAGCAATGAGAACACTTGTAGGCCCCTTTTGCCAGTACAGTTGTTGGATTGGTATTGACTGAAGTGAGTGGAAATGATGTTCAAGGTTTGTGTTTTATTGTGTGATTGCTATATTAGCATGACATGAGATTGATAGTACAGTCACCTGATGAACTATTTGCTGATCAGCTTTGAAAAGAAATGAACTAACAGGAAGACTATAACTATCTTCTGTCTTTATAGCTGCAACTTTGGGACACCGCGGGACAAGAGCGGTTCCGTAAATCCATGGTTCAGCACTATTATAGAAATGTGCATGCAGTCATCTTTGTCTACGACATCACAAAAGTAAGAATATGTTTTTTATAACCTTTTGTTAAGTTCGTTTTTAAAATTTCTTTTATTTTTCCCTTCCAGAATATAAGTGTAATAAAATGACACCTCTCCCCCGTGTGGGTTCCTGGGCCCTATTGTGGGGAAAACAAGAATAGACCCACTGCCTCCCCAAAAGCATGTTGTAGGAGTCGACTAATTGGGGAGCTTCCTTTGAAGTCGGAGTGCATCTGCCGGAGAGGCAAGAAACCAACAGTCTGTATTCAAGAGAATGAGATCTGTAAAACTGATACACACGCAACACTCAGGTTCTGGAGCAGGACTGCAGTTCAGTAGTGGACGAGCAACCAGAACTTTCCGCCAGAGTGTACAGCTGGTGAACGCGAAGAAGAAGAAGAAGAAATGACACCCAGTGACTCAAAGAGCTAAATTTCAGATGCAAATCCAATAGGAAAAAATGGCAGACATCTCATTCAGTGACATAAAGCAACTAGGACATCTTCCAGTTACGGTACAGCCTGCTGTCCTACAAGTTGGGAGATAACTATGGTATTTGTCTTCTCTCTTGCCGTGCAAAGCTCAACTTCTGGATCAGCATCAAAGTCCAGAAGTGGGCAAACATCAAGAACTTTCTGCCGGTGGATTATAATTTGCACCCTCCTGCTAATCTTTCAGTACATTTGCTGAGTAATTTGTACCGTGAAATGTTTATGTTTGTTCTCAAAGCTTCTGTTGGAAATGCTTAGGTTGACTATTCGTCAGTAGGACAGTCTCCTGAACTCCTCTGTCCTGTCTTTCCACACAAGACTGTCTTGTCAGTCTAATCTCTTTAGGCTGTCTAGTCTCTTTAGGACCATCTTTGAGTCAGTCTATACTCCATAGATATGCGTGTGTGTGTGTATGTGCATAGAAAATCTGTCTGCCTTATCTGCTTAGGTTGTCTGTCCATGACACCACATCTGTCTGATCTGCCTAGGTTGTCTGTCCATGACACCACATCTGTCTGATCTGCCTAGGTTGTCTGTCCATGACACCACATCTGTCTGATCTGCCTAGGTTGTCTGTCCATGACACCACATCTGTCTGATCTGCCTAGGTTGTCTGTAATAGTGGTTTAGCATCACAGTTGCTTAGGTGGACTATCTTGTCAGTCTAATCTCATTAGGCTGTCTGATTAAGTCTCTTTAGGACCATCTGTCAGTCTGTCTTATTTGCTTAGGCTGTCTATCTGTCCGTGGAACCACATCTGTCTGGTCTGCCTAAATTGTCTGTCACTATATTTTTGCCAAGCTGTTCATCACAGTTCTGGTGAATTTTGATTATCAGTTTTATTGGATGTCATAGCCTACTGACTATGTGATCCTTGCATTTCAGATTAGTTCCTTTGACAACATGAGCCAATGGATTGAAGAATGTGACCGTCACAGCCTCAACAAACACATTCCTCGTATCCTGGTGGGAAACAAATGCGACATGGTAGATAAGGTGGCCGTCAACACCAACATGGCCCAGAAGTTTGCAGACACACACGGCATGCCCCTGTTCGAAACCTCTGCTAAAGATGATGACAAAGCCAACCACGTGGATGCCATCTTCATGACGGTGGCCCACAAACTGAAGAATGCCAAGCCGATGATGCCCGTACATGTCTCCTCCTCCACCCCAAGAGACTCTGTTCATTTAAGAGACAGCCCACAACACCGAGGATTACAGTCTGCCATTGGTGCAAGCACAGACGAGGAGAAATCGGAATGTGCTTGCTAGCCGATTGTTTGTACAAGAAATGGCTTTTGTTTGTCTTTCCTTGCTAGGGGTTTTTGCGTTGTTGTGATCAGTCGGTGATTTGCTATAAACTTGACCTTTGACATGTATTATATTGTTGGCTAACTGTGGACAAGCTGAAACTTGTTACTGCTTGGAGATCATTTCTGGCTTGTGGTTTGAATTCATTGTTGCTGTACTGTATGTTACAGAAATATCCCTAGTCTATTTTTATTTTGTTGTCAGCCCAAAACACTAAAAATTGAATTGTCTTCGTTCTGGACACTTGTTTGATTTATCACACGTGTATTTGATGTTTGTGGTATTTTATCTTCGCCGCCAATAATTTTCCAAAGGTAAATCTGTTAAATGACTTCTAGTTTCGGAATTTTGGAACTAATGTCTGAATTTGTCAGCAGCCTGTGTTTCACTGGCCTTGACGTTTCTTCAGGTTCTCTATAGCAAGTGTCCACTCTGCATCTGATTCATCAGAGGATACTACAACTGGTGTTGACACCACATTCCGTTTTCTTTTCCCTGATTCCATGATCTGTTTTTTAGCACAAACTCTGTTGGAGATGCTTGTATACCTGAACATGAGAACAACTTCAAGGTCTCTTTGGCTTCTCTAGAGCAGCTGTGCACTCTGCATCTGATTCATCAGAGGATACTACAACTGACGTAATATCGTATGTATAATCTTTTTATGATGAAGTTTTTCCTTCATATTTTTACATTTAACACAGAAGTGATTTGTTAAATTTATTTATTTATACATTTTGTCTTTGGAAATCTGAGACTTGTTTTACAAAATGTCCTTTGTTCCCTGCGGTCATGCGTTGCAGCCCCATCAAGGTTGGACTTTTTCTTGATTGTTGTGGGCTGTCAGGTTTACAAGGCCTAAGAATTGGTAGTGATAAATGATATGGGAAGTAAAGGCAGCCAGCAAGATATTGATCATATCACTCTCAGGTGCCAGTTGATCTGTAAAGGAACATAAAGTCTTGGCATGTCAAGATGAGGAACAGGGTACTTTGCATTTTTTTTGTTTTGTTTAAAGGACATAAAAAAAATACTGATTTGTAATTATTAAGGAATATTTTCATATACACTACTTACTTCTTGCACTCCCCTTTCCCATCAGCTGTGACTCCAATGTCTTCCCATAGCACAGTATAACACTGTTGTCTGGAAAGCCACCAACATGCAGTCATGTGTCTTGCTTGCTTCCATATTTTGAAAGTTTTGGAAATCATTGTCATTACTTGGTTCCTTGCATTGTGTAGCCCTTTTGTACGTATGTGTAGTGTCAGAGGTCGGAGGAAATTATAAGTAAGGACTTGAAGGCAGTAGTAGGATATCGAACCAAATGTGAGGGATCAGTACTCTCAGATGTTTTCTATGTTGAAACTTTCATAACCTGAATGATTGCTACATTGTACAGGTCAGATCTCTGATGTGGCGAATTTCCGTTCTGAAGAGTTATTTGTTTATCTTTAGCAGTTTTTCTTGCTTGAATTTTATCTGTATAAGAGGAATTTCTGATAAAAAGAATTATTTCTTGGGTCCCCAGTGAGTTCTCCTTATCAGGTCTGCACTGCATCCTCGTAATTCTGTTTCTGTTGTGGAATGTGTGAGAAATCCTAGACCAGTTAACTACTGTCAGCGTTGATAGTGAGAAAACTGGCGAGTTCAGGACTGGGTATGACAGTATATGTAACTATTTATTATAATCCGGACTCATCTGTTGACTAGTCATATCTTCTTTATGTTATGTGATATGTAGATATTGTTTTGGTCTGTACAAATATTTGTGTAACTAATGTTGAAGTGAGGAGGAATTAAACAGAACCAAATAAGTAACAGAATCTTGAGGCCAAAAGAAATATGGTACTTGTTACAGTTCTGTGTGGAGATGTTAATTGGCAAGTGTCCATTCTGTGCCCAGCGGAGATCATTATATTCTGCCGACACCAGCAACTGTTTAAAAACACATTTAGGGGAGGTGGCCACTTCTGGTTGACTGATGTTTTTCTTTGCATATTATTTTGGATGACATGATGGTGGGCTACCGGAATAGAGATGAAGATGTTTCTTAAACAGTTGATGATGATTGATTGCTGAATTTTTTCCAGAGGAGCTCCAACCTTTTCTTTCTCTTTTGTCATCGCACTATTACCTGGTTGTAGCTAGTGTTATGGTTTTCTGTGCTTGTCTTAGGTGGCTTTGGTCGTAAAATTTTGTCATATTGTTTTGTGTTTTAGGATCTAGCCACACCATCTATCCTTTTCTTGTTTGGTCTTTCTCTTGCTGCCTGCCCAGATTTTCTGTTGTAGAAGTTTTGTAAACAAAAACAAACAACTACAGTGGTTGTGGAAAGACTGCTAATGAAAAGAGTTATTGAAAGAAATAAACAAGAGACAGCTGAAAATTGTTTTCCAATATTAAAAGACAAACACTCTTTTAAAACCATACTGGAGGAAAAGGTAGAGGGCAAGAGGTGGACAATGATACAAATGGGAGGGCAACATCAAGAGGTGGATGAACATCAGTCTGAGAGTATGTACCAGCAAGACAAGAACAGGATGTGTTGGAAATTCATTGCAGCCAGCTTCACTGGAAGACAGTACCTGTTTGAGAAGTTCAGGTCTCATAGTGTGATCTGGCTCTGGAGTTCATTGTTGGCACATTTTCTGTAAACTTCCTAGGTACTTGCTACCATGGTTACCTTACACGTTGCTGCAACCATCAGAGGGCTTATGTAGCACCCTGCAGCACCAAGAAACCTGCACTTCCCCTCTTCCGCCAGTTCTTCTGCATTTCTATTGACAACCCTGTCTCCTCCTTCTCATCCATGTCCTATCATGCTAACAGTCGACGTCCCCACCTGTATTACCAGGGCCAGACCCATAAAAAAAAAACACATAACCGACCATGCATGTCATAAGAGGCAGCTAAGAGTTGCTATAAGACTAATCGTCTCATCTTTTAGATCACTTAAACTGCAACATCTTTTTTTTTTTTTAAAGGAATGAACAGAACTATAACATTGGTCCACTAAAGGGCTGTGGTCCATTAGGAGTTTAAAGGAAAAAGAACAATAGTTTATTTTAATCCATTTTAAATTTTTTCCTAGTCTTCCTTTATCATCTTCTGTGTTATGACTTTCTTGTTTTGTCAACATTCTCTTGCAACTAATTCTTATCATTTGTTTTATTTGTCATTTTCATAGCGTTATCTGTCTGTTTCATCATTGACCAAAGAACTTTCAGTGTATCTGCACACTTCTAACCTTGTTTGGGTGTTTGTGCATCAGTTTTAAATTTGGTAGAATAATGGATATACTGATATACCAGCTTTTTTCCCAGCTTGAACTATCTTGGGGTTGACCTTCCCTCATACATATTGTTTTTAGATCTGTTTTCTTCTTCTTCACGTTCACTGGCTGTAAACTCCTGCAAAAGTTCTGGTTTTTATTCACTTCTGGACTCTAGTCCTGTTCCAGAAACTGAGTGTTGCTTGCACATTCATTTCACAGATCTGACTTATTCTCATGCAGACTGTTAGTTCCTTGCCTCTCAGGCAGATGCACTCCGACTTCAAAGAAAGCTTCCAATTAGTCGACTCTTACGACATGCTTTTGGGCAGGCAGTGGGTTTTTTTATTCTTGTTTTTCCTTAAACCCGCACAGGCAAGTTGATGATTTCCGGACTTCTGGAAAGAGTAGATTATGAGGAAAGGAACTGGCACCCAACCTCATTTATCATGGCCTTGAATATATGAAGGCTAACATTTCACCACCCAAAATTTTTAACTACAGTGGGACTACATTTACTGGCATATCATCGTGTATAACGCCAGTTTTAATTTTTTCATATGTTGCTTGTGATCATTGGCAGACTTGTCTGTATGTACATAATGCACAGATTGCTGGGCAACTTTCGAATAGATTAAATAGAATGAGACTAGATTGTAATTTACTTACTGGCACTCATAGATGCTTCTTTTTTCTTCTGCTTCTGGTGGTTGTCAGCTTCAGCAGAAAGTCCTGGTTGTTCATCCAGTTGACATACTTTGGTCTTGTTCCAAGACTTGAGTGTTGTGTGCACATCCATTTTACATATCTTACTAGACTGTTAGTTCCTCTCAGACTGACTTAAAAGGAAACATCAATGTGTTGGCCAAGCCCCTGGCTGGGAACTTCTTCTTGTTCTGCTGCATTCGAAATCAACATGTGAAAAATTTAGTCCCGTTTGGGTCACAGATAGGGTTGTGTGTCAAAGGTCACCGCTGGTTCCCCCTCAGCTTCTCTTATTAACTCTTTGAGTCCCAGGGGGTTTAGCATCACAGGCCCAACGGGTAGTACAGAGAGACATAAAATCAGCACATCAAGCGTTCATTGGGCTTCTTGGTAGGAACCTCTAAACGTATGATGCGTTCTTTGTGACTCAAAGCGTTAAAATAGTGCTTCCCTTGGGCCAGATCCACAGTCTCTGCCAGGAGTAGTTATGGCAGTTCTACAGTATGTGCTCAGGAGTTGGTGCACCGCAATCTCAGGCAGCAGATTCTGTTATGCCTATCCTGTCCAGGTGTGTTCTGAGACCACCGCATCCTGTCCTAAGTCAGAACTGATGTTTGTTCTTTCCTGTTGAGTTTATTTATGCTGTCATTCTCTGATCTGCAGTATCCATTCTGCCTTTTCCAATCCCCCTTGAAAAACTGCTTGAGGGTTGTTTTGGTTTACTTATAACTCTTGGATGAGGTTGTTGAAGATTACTCTGAGCTTTTGCCAGCTCTTCTGCTCTCTCATTTCCTCGAGCACCACAGTGAGTTGGTATCCACTGCAGGACGTGTTCTGCCTGCTTGGAAAGCAAGCTTGTTTTTTGCTTGATAGAAGCTTAGAGATCAGACAGTGCATCTCTTAGTATAACAATTGTGTAGCCTCTGTGTTCTTGAGTGGTGAGTGGCTGGACTGCAGAAAGAAGAGCAGTTTCCTCAGATCT